CTCTCTCTCTCTCTCTCTCTCTCTCTCTCTCTCTCTCTCTCTCTCTCTCTCTCTCTCCTTCCTCCCCCTTTTCTGATTTTCTTGATTTGCTCAGCGAACGGGAATTTGCGCATATATCAGCATTTCAATTTCTCGCGACGTTGAAAGCCAGACACGAGATGGTGTTAACGGATCACCATATTGTTCGGGCTTCGAGACAAGTAACGCGCAGACCGCTTTCTAGACAAGTCCGGTTCGTTGTTGCTTTCCTTGGAGAGACCTTTCGTTGCGCACCTTCCTCCGATATGGTGCATTCTTCGACTCGCAGCCGCTATGGAACTCTTGCGGCTCAGTGTATCACATAAATTGCAAACGGCACTGCGCACGTGCAACTTTCACCATTTTTACGCCTTTTACCGTCCACTTACTCCATCGCCGTAGTATTTCGCCGTTGTGATCGTCGTTGTCATCGAGAGATTTTAATAGCCTCCTTACTCTTACTCTTATCCGCGCTTTCCTGGTTGACTGACCGACTGCTTTTTTATGCAGGTGCCGCGTTATATTTTTACACGAGCAGTCTATTGTTTGAGCACGGATATAAGATTTGCATGGTAAAATTAGAAAGCCTGCATATAGCGCGACGGTGTGAGTTATTCCACCGGAATTAGACAAGAGTATACGCACAGCGTGATATAACAATCGCAGGCCATTGTCTACGCGGCAGATCTGTAATTCTTCAACGACTCCACAAATGTATCGAGCGAGAGAAAAGATCCCTTATTATTCTTGCACATAACTTTTCAGGCGATTCCACCGGTCGCTGAAATCGGTTTCTCCTCTGTCGCGGAGAGAAAAATCTCGCTCTGCTGAGATAGAATCTACGCGAACGTGAGAGCGAGTGAAGGGGGGTGAGACGATAATGTTGAACGCGTGCGCGTGTTGTACGATACTCTTACGCAACAATTTCAAGGAGATCAAACTTGAGAAAAGAGTTTGTTTTCATCATTGTAATTATGTGATATGATATAGTATGATATATACGACAATAAAAACGTCGTGTGGCAGCGAAAGATTTGGTAGACCTGATTATTCGGTCCAGCCGCCGCTAACTTACTTTTGTGTTCTACTCTGAACAACTCCGTGGCCTGGCTCCATTAATCGTCGCGCAACATCGATCTGTCAGCCACATGACGCCACCGTTACTAAAAGCCTCCTGACAGGCTTCAGTCACTGTTACACATAACTGACGCCGCGTAGTTGGATGATGCAGCTGCAGCCGAATACCGCCGCCGGTCTGTACAGTTAACCACTTTTCTCGGTACGCAGTGGTAGTGCACGGAGATGCATCGTACAATCGCATCTGTGCGAAAATATACAGCATGCGTGCACGCATACACGTATACACGACGTGTCGTGTATTGGCGCGAGAGCGCGTTTTATAACGCGCCTTCTCTCTCTCTCTCTCTCTCTCTCTCTCTCTCTCTCTCTCTCTCTATTTCTCCCTCCCCCCTCTCTCTCTCTCTCTCTCTCTCTCTCTCTCTCTCACGGATAAAACCATACAACCTCGACTTTTCGACGCATATGTTCTCTCGTTGGACGGCTCGCTGAATCCGCCTTGGTAATTACAAAAATGTTGCCGCGAGTATAGAGGATGTGCACGTCACGATAAAGCCGAACAAATTGTAGGAAGGACAAAGCGATGTACAACCGCTAGTACAGCTCGCAATGTTACTCTTTCATTTATGTTAGAACATGTCTATCTAGTATACATTCTACGATCTCACTTTGTATATTTATTATTACGAGAAAATTGACATTCATACACGTGTCCAATTTCAACTTCTTGCAAGTATCGTATTTACAGAAGAAGATAAGAAGAACATAATCAGTTTGTTCGTCGACTTTGTTCGTCATTGCAGGTTTTGATACACACATGTATCAAAGCGGACGATAATGTGTTGGTCAGCAATGTTTGTAGAGTCCTATGTTGATCTGAGATTTACAGATGATACTTTACAGGTGATTTCTATAATAAATTAACATAATCCAATCAATATCCTTGCGATTCTCCTTTCGCGATTGCAAATTACATTGCTTCAATCGAACACATGGAAAGAGTTGCGCGTCGTTCCATGTGTTCATCGCAACGTTCGAAAGTTACGAGACACCTTGTCCGCCGTTTTGACGTCAAGTTGAGAGGGACGTACACATGCTCGTGGAATTTTCATGTGCGAAGCACCATGTGAATATCTCACATTTCTATTCTAAGCGCCGCGTGACACTTATTACGCTCGATACAATAAGCTTGTTGAGATTTTATAATTGTTCGACCGCGCAAAACGATTGAATATAAATAAAACGCCACTCATCTCCGCTAGTCTTACATGGTGAAAAATGGAATAATTAGGCGGCATAATTAGAGGAGCGCACGCAGTTACGTGCGACGAAGAAGAAGACGAAAACATACGAGACAATCGCGTGATGTAGATTCGATGCTGTTGAGATGCTAATTGGATATATTTGCGACAGCGTAAAAACGCACACATTTTTGTACATGATGTCACACGCGCGGATGTAGGACGTCGACGCGAAAGTAGGACGCGGTACGAGAGAATTTATGAAATTTGGCGAAGGAACCTCCTCTCTTTTCTTTCTCTCTTACGCGTGTGTCTTTCAGTTTGCTTGTTTATATGTATGCAAGAATATATAACGTCACATTGATCACGCTTCCATATCCGCGTTTCTACTTTCAGAAATAATTAATATTGAAGTTTGTAAAGCTCACGCGATCGGACATTATTCAAATGCCTCCTAATCGTCTATAATATGCGATTAATCCCCGTCGTTCTTTCTTACCCGTCCGCCAGGATTGACAAATAATGACGCATTACACGCACAGAGTCGCTATTAAATGCCCAAGAGTTGACTGATATTATCCTGCAAATTAATCTCCGCCCATAGCGTTATCGTACATCAGTTACTATCATTATCGGGTGGTATGTGGTATGTGGCGGGTGATCGCTACGTACTAAGCGCACGTAGCGCATAGCGCTATAATAAACTAGCTTATTACGCGTAACCGCAGTAGCGATGGCAACGACGACGACGACGACGACGCGGTGACGATGGTCGATTAGATGTATCGTCGCGGGTTTCGCGGTCGCGAACGGTGCAAACAAATTGTAGCCAGCAATTTGCTCGGGCCGCTGCGCATCGGGCGCATCGTCTTCCACAACAGTCGCATAATCGTCACCGTCACCAGATAACGTTCGTTCCTCGCGTGAACCGACCGCGAGTTTAACCCTCCAAATAGACAGATCCGTCGAAGTCACGACGACGTCACGCTACGCTAACTTGATCTCAAAGAGGAGAAAGGCTCTGCACGATATATCAAATGTCCTGCAGGTGCAGACCGATGAGTTGTTTTTCGTTTTTCTTTTTTACGCGCAAAGAAAATGTACCCCACACACCGAATGGCTGTGAGGCATAAGTGGCATTATCAAACGTTACTTGACTCGCTCCACTTTACAGATTCATTTCATGCAACTTTACAGATTTCGTTCACGCACTAACGTATAAGTTGGACGTATACTATGGATCCGTTTGATTGCAGCGTGCACAATGTGCACGCAATGTGCATACGCACATTTCTGTTGCTGTAAGCCCAACGAATCGCCTAATGCGATTTCTTTCTTCTTATTCTTTCCTTTTCACTTGGTCTAAGCTTCGAGTCCTCACGCCAAATTGCTCGAAATGCATCGAATCGCGCAACAGGCGTAAAAGTGAGTCACAAGAGTAGCGGACTCTGATCCGCTCGATTTCGAGGGCGCTCGATTTGCGATGCCCTCTAGGATGCCCCCTAGAATGCGCGCTCCTTCCTGAGGCATCCTGAGGCCAGCAAGACGGCAGTAAGAGCGGCCCGCTCGAGCGTTCAGCCGAGCGGCGAGCGTATTCCGACGGACGTTGGAAACGAGGCTACGAGAAAACCGCATCATCACTGGTCATCATCTTAGCCGTCATCTCATCGCCACCACTCTGCCGTCGCCGTTCGATATCCTCGAAGAAGTCGATGCTCCTTTGAGAGCGCCGTCGAGTTACCCGCGCCACTTGGTGCCGCGTTATCGTCACGTGCGCTTCTCTACATCCGTCATCCGTTACGGCGTCTCGCGAAAGCTAGCAATGGACGGCGACATCGCTACGACGACCCGTTGCAACGATAAATTTCCCCGAGATGAACGTACGACCGTCAGGTAAATCCTTGTATATTAGGCGGCTGCTATATTTTGGATTCATTTTTAGATAATTATTGTTTCGACTAAACTACTCTCAAACTATTTTATAAACTATTATTTTCGCTAAATAATTGTGAGTCATTACTTTCGAATAGAATTGAGAGTAGTCTGTTTCTGAATTATATTTGCTTTTTTTTTTATTTTAGAGTAACACATACAAAGATCAAATTGCCAGAGCGTGTGTTGCTTGAAATGATATCACTTCTTTCTTGTGTTTGAAGTAATAAGACTAGCCATACAAATTTACTGCAATGTAGATTATTCACAAACAGGCTAGCCAACTGTTTCTTTTCTAATCGTTTTAATTCAAAGGCTTGAATTTTAAATTACACACATATATATGTATGCAATTAACGCGACGGA